ACTGTAGATCTTTGTATTTGACCAATCAGCAGTGTTCAGGGCTGCAGGCCTTGTCCCGATAGTTCTTGGACCTTCAGAAAATACTACTTTTATCAGGTACTTCTATCAGGGATGCGCGTAGACCCTCCGGTGGAACTATATTTCAAAAAAGGTTCCTGCTTCCCGGGGAAAGTTCTTCTAGTGAAAATGGGGCTTACGAAACCCTCGGCAGAGAATCATCACAAATAATCTTACTCACAGAATTTATGTAAACTATTGATGGTTGATATGACCTGCTGTCGAAGGCAGTTCTCGTTTTAACTGGTGAAAGAGATGGTCAGTGCTAAGAGTAAGAAGCTGCTGCCTGAATGATTTTCTACAGTGCTCTTTGCTGATAAGTAGTGACAGTTTAGTAAGACCATGCATGTTGCCAGCCTTTCACTCACCAGTGCACCCAAACAATTTTTCACATTCACTCACTCTTGGTTGGTGGCAGATAGTTTTGTATGCTACACCAGCACCTCTCTGCTTTAAATGGGCTTAGTAGCTCACGATGCTTTGTGAAGTAATAGTTGGAGCAGTTTGTGCAGGAATCGGCCTCATCTCAGCGTTCTGCCTTCAGTTTCTTTCTGCTCCACTTCTTCAAATAAATGAAATTATAGACTGCTGAGAAAGGTAGACTCTGCCATGGTAGACTAAATGTTTGTGTGTCTGAGCCTGTTAATGTGTTTGTATGATTAGTCCTTTCAAATCAGGCATTCCTCTTTGTGTAAAAGTGTGTATGCTTTGGCATAATATGATCCTGAATGTGTGAATATATTGTAGAGTGCCAGTGAGTGTGTAACTGTGCGTGCCATGTTTATCCGTCTGGCTTTTTTTAGGCTTAAGTTGATGCATTTGCACAAAGTGTTTGGTAACTTGTATGGTTATGTGCAGGTAAAAATGTTTTTACATTGGTAGCTGAGCAACATGCGTCCAGAACAGCACAACTCGGAGCAATTCGAAGGTACACAGGCTAGTGAGCTTAGAGATCAGTCGGTGGAGGAAAAAAAGAGAGAGAGAGGGAGGAAGACAAATGGATGGAAGGACCAAGAGACAGATGGACACACAGTATAGACCGATAAAAGAGGAGCAATGGGTAGATATAAGGTAATAGAGAATGATATGACATACATGGAGAGAGACACAAGAGTGGGGGTGTCATACTGTGCAGCCGGTGTGCAACAGTCCTTTCAAGGACACACTCCTCCCAGTGGCTGAGATGTTTCTGGACTCAGCTTTCAGGAGCTCATGATGATGACTGGTGTGAGCTAGAGCCCCCAGTCATAGTCACACCACACACACACACACACACACACACAAAATATATATATAAAGTATACAGCATATTAACTGAAGCTGAATGTGTTTCCTTACAAGAACATATACACAGACCTACCTGTTTCCAGATTGCACCTGATTTCCTGGTCTCACAATACGGATGACTCTGCAGCAGGTTGAGTCAGAAAACCAATTCTGGTGATTAGCTCCCTCTCGCTCTTAATGAGGATGATGATGGTCATGGTTGAGCATTAATTAAGATTAACTTCCTCTGGAGCTAAGTTCTACAGGAGAAGACTGATGGATGCTTTAGACAGTGTGCAAAAATATTAGAAAAGAAAAAAAGACTTGTAATTTGACAAATAATCTAATTTATACTGTTTTTTTTTTAAAGATACTGTACTTTAAAAATATAATTTTCCTTCCTCATGTGTGATATTTTAGGAGGTGCTGGATAATCTTCATGTCAGTGATGGAAACCATTTCTGGCATGATCAGAATTTTTAGTAAACTCAAAATCATTAGAAATACACAAACACAAACACATACTGTACATAAATATAGAGTATGTTGTCACTGATTCCCTGGACACTGATGTCCTCCTGCTTCATCAACATCATAAGGACCAATGTAGGGAAGTCATTCTGTTGACTGACAGTCATGCAGCTCTGTAATGCGCCTTATGTGTTTGTTTATCTCACAAATGATTTGCTTTCACACAACAAACTGCACCAGAGTCCACTTGGACCTGGACCAGCACCACCATCTCAGGTGGTCTCCATCTGGCTGTTGAGTGACAGCTTTAATGCCAGCCATTCTGATATATACCGATTTAAAAAAAAAAAAAAAAAAAAAAAAAAAAAAACCCTGGGGTTTTTGTGTTTTTTGTTTTTTTTGGTCTTTCACTAATAAATCAACGTAGCCTGGTTAGTTGCAATGTTGATTTTTGTCTCTGCGCTTCCCTTTATGTGATCTTTTTATCTGTCCCACCCCCTTATTCCCTATTAAGCTCTTCTTTTGTCTCTCCAGCTAGAAACGGTCCTACTCGATAATGAATCCTGCTTGCCCCTTCCTGCTATTCTTGCTCCACATCCTCTAACACTGTTTTCACCTTTTTCCATCTGAAGCCCCCTCACTTCTTTCTTCCTCTCTTTCATTTTGGTGATGGTGGTGATGCGCTAAGTTATATTAATGTCTGGTTTTATGTCCACTAATATAGATGACTGCCTATGAGAGATACATTGGGTACGGAAAGTATTCAGACCCCCTTAAATTTTTCACTCTTTGTTATATTGCAGCCATATGCTAAAATCATTT